CAGAACAATTAAACCATATAATTTTACATATTACGATTATTTGCTATTTTGCAGATACAAATTATTATAAAAATTAGATTTTATGCCAGCGATTAATTGTTTAAAAGATTATTTTGTTTGAGAATGAAATATACAATAAATTTGTTAATAAACGAAAATGTCAAAAAATATTGTCAAAAGTGTTTTTTTTTCGAAAATGGTTTCAACAACTTCTAGAAGAATAAAAAAATGCACGGAAACAGAAAGTAAAACTGAGGGATGCTTGGGCGCCTGAAAATATGCAGTAACAGCAAGGTATGTGGACAGTTATTTTTCTTCAACTGAATATAATAATTTATTTCTAAAAATTTATTATGTAAAGAAAATCGAAAGCTCTTTTATATGTCAAACTAAAACCTTGAAACGAATTTGTTTACCCATTTTTGGATAATATAAGAGCAATGTGGGTTTAACACTAAAATTTACTTGGAAATAGATTTAAAATGAGTTCAGAAGATTTTATTTCATTGTTTATTATATTGCTTTGTCAAAAAAATTCTGATTAAGAAAATTGTTTGCCTAGACATTAAGCGCCATTTTTGAATCATTGAAATACAAGAATATATGAAAGCTTCGGATTGGAGAACTTAAATGAAGGTAAATATAAAAAAATCCATTCTGAACCAAATATTAATTTGAAAATACACCTAGAGAACGTTTATTCCAAAATACCTAAGATCCACATTTGTACCTATCCAGAGTTATGTCAAAGAATTAGATCAAAACTATTTGCAGAACTAAATCAAGCTGGCAGCTGTTGCACTCTCTGTTGCCATAACGAATTAATACTATGGCATAAGGAATGGCCTCCAAAGTTCAAAAGCCCGTTAATATGTATGCCTTTTGACAACTATCACAATAGAAACGTGACGTCAATACTTGTGTATGCGATCAACTTCGTTAGTGAAAATTGGAAAATTTTAACGGTTTTTATTTGGATGTACTGTAGCGGAACTTTTCAGCGATTGATAAAGACAAGTTAATTTAAAAACACATATAAATGCTTTTTAAAAATTTGTAAGCAATAAGAAAAATGTGTTGTTGTAGCTTAATAATTTTCAAGAAGGTTGTCTGTTCACAGTCATTGTTCGGATAAAAATCCGAGTCCGTTTCGCCTACACACCAACTGTCGCGCGAACTGCAACATTTACTATTGAAGACAAATCATGAATGGCCTTCAATGCCTCTAATATATTAAACAAAAAATAATACTAAACAGAAAAGTTTAAATAAATAAAAAAAATTATTTAAAAAAAA